TTTTAGACATTTCTTCAAGATCAATTTAAGAACTAATTATTTACGTTTACTATTGTTTACAAATGAGTAACAAATAAAATATTGTACATTATACGCCAGGTAATAGTTTTTACTGGCTCTAGGAGATGACAAGCTCGCCTAACGGCTCGCTAGTCAACTTCTCCTATCGCCAGTAAAAACTCACTTACCTGGCTAATAATGTAAAGATAATTTATGAATAGGTATGTCAGGAACCGCTTGAGATATTTCGATGATTCATGAACCGTATCCGAGACAAGAAGGGCCACTATGGGCAAATGTTAAATTTGTTTAAATATAGGAGAACAGTTGTGGAGCTAAAGGTCTAAGAAAATCGCTTGTAGAAATCTCTGAAAATGTTTTTGGTTTTTGCATATTTTGAAAAAATCGGATTTTTCGATTTACGAACTATTTCTTTCTGGATTTTTCACCACCTCAACTTTTAATGCTCTTTTAGGTGGAATTGTTAATTTTTTTATCCAACATTTCGTCTTTGCGAACCATCACCAACTACATTTTTTAGCGTATTTTCCTCAAAGTGAAAAATCGCTGTTGGTTGCACTTTGACCTCCGTCCGTCCGTCCGTCCGTCTGTCCGTCACACGTACTCCTTCTAAACCACTGAACCGATTTTGGCGATATAGGACTCATTTGAAAGGGCTTGGTCCAAGGATTCCGTGCATACCCATATTTTTTGGTTTTGCGCATGCGCAGTGTCAAAAATTTGGTTTAACGCATGTACAATGCTAACTTTTTTCCCTATGAAGATATTTAAGTGAAACTTTATATGTAAACACTACGAATATAAGTAAAATTTACGACACTTTCAAAATGTGGTTTTGCGCTTGCGCAATGCCACTTTTCTTATTTATGGAGGGATTTAAATAAAATTTTATACATAGGAATAAAGACAAATTTAACACCAGTTGCAAAATTTAGTTTTGCGCATGCGCAATGGCAACTTCCTTATTTACTGAAGCATTTAAATGAAATTTAATACATAGGCACTTGGAATACAACCAAATCTAACACCAGTTTTAAAATTTGCTTTTGCGCATGCGCAATGGCAACTTTCTTATTTATGAAAGCAGGCAAACGGAATATCATAATATGTAGGCACCTTGAATGAAACTAAATCTAATACCGGTTTCAAAATTACTGTTAACGCATGCTGGTATGTTTTATTTATGAAGGTATTCAATAAAATTTCTAATGTAGACAATGAGCAATGCTATTTACGAAAGCATTTAAAAGCGTTTCATGAAGAGAATGGGACAGCATTAACTATTAGGAGGAAAATACGCTCTCGTCATTTATGTTTGCATAAGGACTTATTAACTTGTTTATTACGAGGTTCACTACAAATTTTCATTAAGTAGAGAAAGTTGTAGAATTGTTCCGAAATTGAGAAATCTACTAAAAATTCCAACAATGCACAAGAAAATCTGTTTTGTATTTTTTAGTAGCAAAAGTCATCTTCTTAGAAGCCATCAAAAACTTTCTTAGAGAAATTTCCAGTACCCTTAAGGGGATACCGGGAACCCCAACCATAACTAAAAAAATCTACCACAAACGGTGAAGAATATTCCTTTTTTAAGTCTGCCCTAAAACTTTACTACGGAAAGTTTTCAAACTGATGAGGGTCCATCCAGAACTTTTAACACTTTCCAAGAAAAGTATGATTTCGCAAAGCCCAAAGTAAAAGCGTTTAATGGAAAACCTCATGGTGCAGATTTTGCTTCTGACTAGAGTTCCAGATAGCTCCTCAAGAGGTTTGAAACTTTCTTTAAGTAATAAAGTTTTGACTGGCGACTTATAAAGAAAACTATAAGAAAGATTTTTGCTTTTCGCACTAAAGAAAGGGTTGGTGTTTTGACTTACATTCTGGACAGCTTCTCACAGGTTTAAAACTGTCCGTATACATAGTCCAGTCAAATTACGGTTTGGGCTGGATGTTGTCATTTCACTCAATGAAACCAAGCGTATCCCATGTAAAAAAAATCCGCTGAATCCGAAAATCATAGTCCCCTTGACCGGAAGTGGCCGGAACATATTGTTATTAACAAAAAACGAAGTAAAAAAGAGTAAATGTCGTGTTTTTTCGCATTTAAATTCGAATATCTCGTTAACTATTACTCTGAGGGAAAGAATGAATAGAAATGAACTTGTCTAGAATAAAATTTTATACAGTTGGTCTGGAACGCTAATTTTCAACTGTTATTGTTTTTTATGGAAACATGTAAAAAAGTAATCTCGAAAATTAACAGTTTGTTATTACCAAGTAAAATTCATCCGATTTTTTTAAAAATCCGTATTTAGTAACTTCTTTCGATAACAAGACAATATGACAAACCCGATCACCGTAGGTTTCATAGTAATTGATTAATTAAATATGACAAGTATAAAAAGGGTTGCTTTGTTTTTCAAACTGGGGAACTACAAAAGCGTTCCCAATTTGTTTATACATAGTTTAACCCTAAAATAATCTTTTTCAATAATTATCCCGAATATTTCCCTCATATGTAATAAATCCCATATGAGGTGTGCAATTATCGCTCAATTACAGCGGTAGGTAATTGCCCTGTAGAAAGCGAAAGAGCCCTGCGATAATTGCACTGTCCATATATCCATGGCAACTGGCACCTGATAATTTTTTATTCAAGCATGTTGTCAGGAAAAAACTGCATTCGGTCATTTTCATATTTTGTTAAAAGAGCCAAAATATGAAAATAAACTCATGCAGTTTTTAGTCAACATGCTTTCAAAAAAATTATCGGTAATTTTGATGCACTTGTGCAATTACTTACGATAATTTTTGTAAATCAACGCACTGTGGAATTTTTTTAGTTAACTAACAAATGGAATAGCTTCCAAGGTACCTATAACAAGAAATTTAACTGTGTAATCGGGCCTTGGCACTCGAATTAATAAAAATCATTCATTTTGGTGAAATAGAAGCATAAAAAAGTTCACGCTTTAAAGAATCGATCGGTGCGACCCGATTTGCAAAAGCATTTTTGGTTGTTTCGAAAACTGGCTTCATAGTCAAAAGCTGATTTCTCGTGAACTATCAATCGGATTTGGTCGTATTTTTTTTAAAGTACGTCTTTCTTTCCGAGAGCTTTCCATTCGCCTATTATAGAGTTATATTCTTTGTTATATTGCGGGAGTTATTCCATTTGTCAACAAGGAAAATTCTTCGAATTCCGAAAAAAAATTCTACAGTCCGTCGATTTGCAAGAATCATCGGGACAATTCTTGGAAAAGATTGTTTTAGGGTTAAACTATGTATAAAAAAATTGGGAAGGCTCTGGTAGTCTCTCAGTTTGAAAAACAAAGCATCCCTTTTTTTACTTGTTTATTTTTAAGAGGTTTTTTATTCCAAATTCCAACGAAGTACTTGGGACATTTCTTGTCATTTTTCCGATAAAGTTTTGAATGTTATCGTCTAATATAAAAATTATGGAGGTTGGTTTAGTTAGAGAAATACAAATTTGTGTGGGAACAGTAATTTGAATTCTGTCCAGAGTTCTGTGCAGCCCCTCATCATTTCTCAAACTTTCCTTAATGGAGTTTTATGGCAAACTTTATACAGGGTGTTACATGACCGCATGTAAAAAAGATTGTATGATAGAGGGGATCAAGACAAGCACTTTTTCCAAATAAACCGAGGGTTCAACGTGTTTAATTCGTTTGGGAGCTAAAGAAGTATTGAAATTTGGATTTCTTCTTTAATTTTTTTCTCGGCAACCATAAGAGTTACCAAGCTGGGTGGCACGTCTTTGAGTTGGTTGTCGGGTATGCCCCATCCGATTTTGAAAAAAAATTTTCAAAATTCCTACCTTGAAAGGGCGCACCCCTACTTGGGGGTGCGAACAAAATTCTGGACAGCCCGCCAACAGTGCTAAAACCTTTTCAAATGAAGATTTGTGACGAATTAGGTAGGATAATAAAACTTTTTTTCGTATTTCAAGTGCTAAAGGAACATTCGGGACTGTTTCTGATGGTTAGAATTTTTTCGTTATGATGGTTTTGGCTGGACCCTATAACAGTAGTACCTATAATAGTATAATAAAACTATAAGTATAGATGTTGATCCTGTGTATACCTATATAGCGGATTCGAATTCTGGTCATTCTGCGGAGACTGAATAGTTCTGAAACCCCGTAACGGAATTTGGTGGTAAACCTTATACATTCAAAAGTAAAAACGAATCCTAAAATTATAATTAAGGTAAAAAGACTCCTCATATAACTATAAGATGCCACATACTTACCTAGGTATAGGTTGTAAGAAGAACATGAATTACCTATTTCCAATTTTACGCAAATTTTGAGTTCTGATGTGCAACGTGCAACTCCTTATTTTGTTATACCGATTTAGTATTTTTGGTACAATTTTAAAGTTCGGTTTGAAGTGTCGGATAGCCCTTTAAAGCCACTGAAACTGTTTATAATGAAGTTTTGCGTTTAACACTAAAATATGATTAGGTTCATGTTATTTACCTATCTATACCTACCTAATATTTCACGCGTTTTCTTTAACGTTTCCATAAGAAATACCTATTAGTTGAGAACATTTTTTGGTTACAGTCCCGGATCACCCTACACAAGTTCATTATATGCCTAAGATTTTGCTGTAAGTCAAAATTGGAAGTGTTTATTTCAGAAAATTTGACGAGGTCTTTTGTATTAATTTTTTTCGCGGAACTATTTCAATGACAACCTATGGTTTTTTTTATGTGTATAGAACCTGATCTGTGGATAGCTATATGAAGATGAACTTCTTCGAACAGTTTTGTATTAGGAGGTATATTTGGCAAACTGGCATTTTGCAACGAAACCAAACAATAAAATATAATTCCAATATTAAATGATAATGACACACACATAAATTTAGAGTCACTAAAATACTCTACGTTATGTCTGTCATGCCGTAAGTACTAATACCTATTTATGCATAACAGGGAGGAAAATGCCTTACCGGTGCCTATTGTTTGAACGAACTACAACTCTTACTCAGATGCAGGTAGTGTGACTAACAACTGTATACGAAAGTGGTAAATTTTCAAACAATTACAAAATTACCTGCTAAATTATACTAGGTAATTATACGTTGTACAGTACGTAAAAGTCCATCCCTATCTAATGATTATAAGTAAAAACGAAAGAATAGAAAACCATGAAGCTTTCAAGAGAGTCCACCAAATGTCAATATTTGTTTTTAAAGTTGTTTAATTAGCTAGATACCCAAATATTTCAAGAATGTAACAAACGAAATTAATTGAAATAAAATTGCATTGCAAAACTGCGCAAACATTGTGTAAGTAAAAAATCAACATAAACAAACGTAAATCGATGTGAACAAATCTTACAATGTATGGCAATCACATGTGTGATTGGATAACACCTGTAATAAAAACATATCATTACAGGACAAAACAATAATCCCCACCATTCAGTTAAGCTCCACCTGAAATTTCTATTGGCGGGAAAATGAATGGAGGGGTTCCCGTTTTTTCAGGGCAAGTTTTAACATAGTTGGCATGCAGACACGTCCCAACGTAGCTTACCGTTTTCAGTTTAGAAACACATGTTGGAACATTAGCAAAAAGAACTGAAATTCATGTGATGTTGCAGTTGTTCAATTGTGCTCTAGTTTTCTCTATGTGCGTGTCGCGAAAGTTTTTCACTACAAAATAAATATTACATCGTTGCTTTGTGTTGCATGCGGAGTGCTCGAGCATTCTGCAGTAGACGTTTCCAAAATTCGCGTCAAAAACAGAGAACCCGTACCTGTCTACGCGATGGAAATGGATCCACATGAAAGGGATACTGACATGGAGGATAGTCCGGTAGTGAGTTTCTTGTGTTTATTATGTAGTTAATGATAAGGTTGCACGAGTCAGTTCTGTTAAAGAGATGGGAACGCATGATAGCCGGTTGTAAAATACCCACGTGCTACGCTTCCTTGCATCATGCTCGTTAGCGCTCTAGCTTAAATGACCGATTTTGAGTAATCATTGCTCTGTAATGTTGAGGGATGGAATTTTAGTTTAATTGCTCAGTGTTTGACAACCTTGAGTCGAATTTCCTTAAAATAGGCGACCTTCGTTACCGCGTTGCTTGTACCAGATGCATGAATGCAGTTTGCAGACTATTTGTTGGAATGAGTTGTTTATTTTCCTCCAAAAAAAGATGGGCAAAATTTAAATGCCACACGCATTTTTAAATGGAAAGTTCCGAAACGGAATATACCGACCATAAGCGCATTATTCAAGAGTAGGTATTAATAAATGTCATTAAGGATTTACGTATAGGTACCTCTTCGATAATTAATTTTTAATAATTTCTTCGAATCAATTTAAAATTATAAACCCATAAACTCCTAATTATTATTACATATCTAACAAGTTATCAATGACAGAACCTTGTATGGTAAGATTAAGTTGGTCTATAGATGGACAACGTTTTCAATTTTCGGTCATACCTATTCCTAGTAGTCCCGGTTCACCTGGAGAGAAGCTAAGTATACTAATAAAAAATGTAAATTAAATAAAGATTCACTAAAAGCCGGGATATTAATAACCCAAGGGTAAGGAAGAGAGGACCGTACCATCAAATTAGTTAGTAGTCATTGGAAGCGTTTCTTTGTCAAATTTATGTATGATATAATAGGTATCTGTCGACATCAAATCTTAAATTGAGAAATTTAATACTTGTAGATACATTATACAATCAAGGGCATTGGACTTTTTTAAATATTTATTTTAATAGAGTTTCTTAATGAACCCAAATAAAAATACCGCCCAGGCCGATAAAAAATTTAATTAAAACTCTGTAACGGGCAATTACTCTCAAATTATATTAGTCGAATGTCTTATAAGGATTTAATTTGTTACTTCACTAATCGTCAGGATACGTCTTTAGGTATCTATATAGCGCTTTTTATGTTCGATTTGGTTATATATATAAACTTAATTAGATTAGTTTTGTATGTGCAGAAAGAAGCGAAGATCCAAATTAATAAGTTTCTTATAGGTAAGCGATCTAATTCCAATTATAAGTCGCAAATTTCTGTAAATTGTAAGTATAAAATAAAAATGCAGGCAATTAAAAAAGGGAATTTTTTCATATACCTACCTAGGTATACTTGCATCTCTATAAGTACCTACCCACCGTGGTACCTATACCTATACAAGATCAGAGTGGGTGTATAAGTATAGGTACACAAAATTAAGTACTTCTACTATAATCTACTTAGTACTATATACCTAGGTATCTAGTAGGTACACAATTTTCCTTTTTTTCTAATGAACTATGTGTATTTGTTGGAATATGATGCCCAATTGTATGATTAAATATACCTACTATAGGTACCTAGTACTGAATAATTTTCACATTTTTATCTGTTGGCACTATTTAGTGTAAAATTCTGAAACAAATTGGTTTCAGTCAATGAACTTGCGGAAATGTCAGGCTATAGAACTTATATTGGGAAAGCGGATGTAATCAAAATTTATTGAAAACACGAAATGGAATAAAAAAAACTATTTAGGTAGCGCATAAAGTAGCAGCAAGATAGTGTTAAACGGCTCTAAGCACATAAATTAGATTATACTTAAAAAACCATATTCCAAATCGAATTGCTTAGAATACGTAGACAATTTTTAATTATTTTCAGATACTTGGTCATTCTTGCGCGATTAAACCCCCATTCCATTGCCTTATTTTTCACTATTTCTGTAAATAGATGGAACTTATGTGCATAGTTTTAACCCAAAGCCTATTTTAGACTAGGTACAGGTATGTGCTGGCAAATTTACGCTAGTTTGTACCTATATCCTTTAATATTGCATACCTATATCAGGAGATCACTACTGACTCTAGTGATACACTTCCACATTATTGCTATTGGTGTATTAGTAGTTGTACCTACAGACAATTGCATCATTAGGTACTACACATATATATATACAATCGCAATAATTCAGAGTAGTTCTAAGTATTTGTGAAGCTTTCAAATGGATATTCAATATATTTCCCTTTAGTTTATTAAACATATATTTTAGCATTATAAAATCTTAAATAACTTTGACATTGACATTATTTATTGAAAAAAGCAACTTATGAAAATGCCCGTGCAATGTGGTACTATTAACTTTATGTTATTAAATAGTTTCTATATACAGAGCCGAAACTGAAAAATTTCTTTCTGCCCTCCTCCTTAAGAAAAATGTCTGGATGTGCCCTTGCTATGCGTTTGTAGGGGTGAGATGGCCACCGTTTTGGAAAACTTTTATGAAACAACTTTATTAATGTCGTTTATCAGAATATAGGTACTCGTATACTGGTTACATATACCGTGAGTCCCAGGGAGAACGCACCATATGGAAACAGGATTAATGTATTTTTTCGAGAAGGATCCAAGAGGCTTTTTATATGTATTTGAAGTTAGCGTTCAACGTACGTTATTGCACTGCCTGATGATAGAAAGGGATTGGAGTATAGTACGTTAAACGCTAATTTCAAAGGCCTCGTGGATCCTTCGCGAGAAAATTCATTGTCGTTTCTCTATGGTGCGTTCTACTTGGGACACACTGTATACTTAACTATAATGCTTTGGTAAAGCGTAAAAAGATCAAATAATGGCAAGTTAATACAAAAAACTCAGGTATTGTACATTAGCCATCTCAGTAATCTGGGTGAATTGGCCAGTCGATTACATATAGGACAGATGGTCATTGTTAAAAAAAAGGGGCAAGTTTCACTCCCTCGATCGGTCGCTAAATCTATATAGCTTTATATCCTTCCAGTATATTATATTATATGGCTGCCACAGCAGCCACTTTTAAGCTGTTTCAATTGTCCTCCGCCAGTGGACGTTCGGGCGTGTTCGGCAATTTGGCTGCTGAAAACTGGCTGCTAACTTCTCACAGGTTTAAAAAAATGAGTTGAAATAAATTTTCGTTGTGCTTCGCAAAATTAACTTTATTTTTTCTTCTTCGCTGCTATCTTGTCACACGTTTGACACATATTTCCAAAAGAGGTTCCGTTTTCATGACACCAGTCCAGTTACCGAATAATCCTCTCCACATCAAAGACACATATTGTCCATGTCCTCATATACGCGAATATTTACGTCACTGTCTTCCGCAAATCCCACAGACTCGTCTGAGTTCCCTGAAGTAGTCGAAACATGCACTTTCTTTTTACTTCTTCCTGCTTTCTCATTTCTTTCTTCGTTTAGATTTGTTTCTTCTTTTCCGTTTCGTATTTTCTTCTCGTTTCCTTTTTGTTTTGCGCTTCATTTCTTTTAAGGGTCTTTGCCTTGTGCAATATTTTTCGGCCTAGTCCATACGACACCAAGGTTTCTAGCTTGTTTAGTAACATTGCAGCAAGGAATGGCGGGAGCGGGTCCGATTTGATCTAATATTTCTTCAGGAGTGATGTTTGAGACCAAAGTTCCTTGTTGTGGGGTGGTACTTCTAGGAACCCCAGGATGGCTAGATTTTTCTAATGTTGAAGCAATGCTAACGAATGGTTCATTCTTGTGAGCGACTGTCATCGGATATTGCATAGGCGCGATCAGGTACACAATCAGGGTTCTATCTAAATATTGCCTGTGGCTTTAAATGCCGATACAACGTTTCCAACACTAGCAGATTTTCCCCAACTTTTGGATAATAGTTCACTAAAATGTAGTCTTGTTAGGTTTCTTCTTGGATGAGTTTGATGCCTCTCTTTAAAAGCACTATAATAATTAAAGGTTTAAAGACGGCTCTATCTAGGGGTTGCAAATAGTGTGTAGCGTGACTTGGTATGGTAGATACAGCAAAATAACACTGCGTTCCTCGGGAGTTTCCAATAGTTTAACAGATGAACGGTAGTGCGACGCCAGGCTGACCAAAATTAATAACACCTTCCCTTCATGGTGTGCGAGGAAGAAAGTGGCTTACGAACCATTACCAAACAAACTGTATTTACCTACGTAAGCCGATTTTTCAGACATACATT